CCCCAAAACCCCAAAACCCCAAAACCCCGCCATTAGGATAAAAGATAAAAATCATAGAATATTAAATAAAAATATATGTAGAAATTTATCTTTTCCAATCAAAGTAAAAAACTTTTATAAATCTCTGGTTTTGTCTAAGAATACCCTAGAACGCCTTTTAATTTCACTAAGCTTGAATTTATTCCATTTCGATCCATATATCCATAATAACTATTAAAGAAAGAAGTATCTAGAATTTCAGATGGTAATTCAGCTTCAATTAATCTTGAGCATTATGCCAAGCCCTCTCCAAATTTAATCACAAAAATATTTTAATCATCTTAAGAAATACCATTGTTCTTTTTATACTAAATATTTTTGTAATTTTCTGAGGAAAGTGAAAATTTTGTCGTCATTAACGATTAAGAAATACAACCTTTTTAAATAAATAGTTTAAGATATCTTAAGTTTTAAGATAGAGAGGTCAGCATATCTCCAAGAGCATTTAAAGAGTTTACTGAGATATAATCAAAGTTAATACTTAGTTTTTTTAATCTGGTAAATTAAGAAATAGCAAGGATATCATTTTAGTTATCATGCAATTCAGTTGATTTACTTGGTTCTTGCTAAGAGCTACAACTTTGAATTTATAGCTTAGTTAGCATTTTGGTATTAAAATGGTAAATAAAACTGAATCTAAGATTTGCTTGAGAATCATCTTAAGTTGATGAATATGTAAAAGAGCGGAGCTAATTTCCTATTTTCTAAACAATATTTGAGATCAGGAAAAAACTACCGTCTCCAGTTTGTTAGATCGATAAGACCTGCAAATTCTTACAACTAGCAAGAGGCATCAATAAATCTTTATTTTTGGTATATAGTAATACTCCGCTTAGTTTGAAACTTTATAAGTTTAATTAAGATCCTAGTGCTTTTATTAAATTATCAAATAATGTCTTCCCAATGTTTGAGTCCTATAATGAGAATTTTTGAAGTCTTTTGTTTTCTATTAAGTAATTAAATTTGAAGCTATCATTAATAGATGCATTTTAGATTTATAATTTCTCGCCAATAAAGCTTTTCATGACATTTACAAATGCATTTTATTGATTTCCATTATACATATAAGAATCCTCGATAAGAAACTTGAGTGTCGATATTCTCTTGCTTACTAATTCATTGATAAGGCTGAAATCTGCAGATTAGTCATTTATTGACTTTTTATCTTAAGCAGAGATTATTTGCTCAAAACAGCAACCTCTTAGTTCAAACAAATTGAAATAAGGAGTACTCCTAATGAATGCTGTAAAATAGTAATACATATTAGAGCTTATTTTAGTATCAATGAGTTTGAAATGTGTTATTTTTGTAGGTTTTCGCTTCAAACCCATCCAAAACTATTCTCCATGAGTATATTAGTTAGTGGATTGCTTGATAGTTAATTTAGTCAGTGATCTGTTTTCTTTGAAAAATTTCCCCCAAATTTTATCTATCTCTGGAACAAACAATACAATCTTTTGAAGCCTCAATGATCTAATGTTAGGGGTATTTTACAAATAATTACATAAGTTTTAATGAATAGCAATCATTTTCAAGCTAAAACTTGGCAAAAAATCTAAACTCAAGTGCTCGATTGACGTTGGTAAAATTTAATAGAAGTAATCTTCTTAATAACAAAGCTTTTTGATATCCACTAAGAGTGATAATCTCAGTAATTTATCATATTATTAGGACATCTGTAATTCTGAATATAACTAAACATAATTATTCCCTGATGTGCTTAATTTTTACATTGATTATATTTTGTCTAATAATGGTCCCACCTTTATAGCGACTGTCTCCTCTAGTTCATACAATACATTGAGAGTAGTAATATGAATAGCATGCATAGGATTCTAAGATACAAAATTTTGAAAGTGATATAATTCGTAGCATCCAACAATTTTATAAAATCCTTCTCTTCTCGAATTAAATCTAACTTTACTTAAGTTGTCCTTTAGCAAGGGTTGACCAGGTCCAATCTCAATAATTAGAGGTGATTTTCTATCAATGGTTATAATGTCTGAAAACTCAGTCGAACACTTAACATGCTACTTATAAAATCTTTTACCTCCCTGAAACAACATTGAGAGCATCCCTTTCAATATTTTCTTTCTTGAAACAAACTGGAGGACTTAGCAAAAACTACCAATGCTGGGTAAGTTTGAGTTTAAGAGATAATTTTTTTCTGAAAAAAATTCTATTTATTATTCCCTGTCAAAGTATGATTCAACCATTTAATTTTTACTTTAGAATATTATCAAAGTTTAAATGGTAGAAAAATATAATATGGATTCTCAATTATCCTTTGCTTATCTTGATCCAGATAAATACGCTTCCTAAGATATGGAAATGGATAATTATTTCGTTTGCCCTATTTGCTTGGGTGTAGTAATTGATCCATAGGTATGTCAACACTGTGATAAAGCTTACTGCAAAAGTTGTTTAGTGGAAAACATGCAATGCGCCAACAGATGTGGAAGTAATCAGTATAGAAAGATCGGTCGCTTCGCAATGAATACTCTTAATGCTTTTCCATTCAAATGTATATTTGAGAAGTGTGAAGAGGCCATAAAATATGAAAATTATTTCAGCCATATCTAGAAATGCGATAAAGCAACGAAAGCTTGCGAAAATTAATGATGTATACAGTAAAAGGAGGCTTATATTAGTCAGATAGCTGTATTGTAGGAAAAAATAAACTTGATTGAATAGAAGTAGTAAGTAAATAACGATTTGCCGCAACTTCAAGGTGGACTTGTTGTTTCTCATTAGGGTGTGATAGAATTAGTAAAATGCCCAGATAATCATGATATGAAAAAGTATTCAGGAAATCCATATAATAATGGTTCTGTGAAATGTGATGTTTGTTACTCAAATGATATTAATGATTAGAAATTTTTCTTTAGATGTATTGGGAACTGCAATTTTGATGTCTGCTCAAGTTGCTATGTACTTATTCTATTTGATTAGAGAGAGATTATTGAATAGATTTAGGAATCTATTTAACCTAAGGATAAAACTAGCCTATTTTCATCATTGAAGAAACCTTTTGATAAGCACAAAACAAATGTGAAGCTGAAGGATTCAATGAACAAATTAAACATTACTAAGCTGATGTTCTCAAAGTAATGAAAAAATAGATTCCTCTTTTATCTAAAATCCACCCCTATTATTATATACTGCTAAAATGATTTAGTTTATTTAAGATTAAGATTCAATTATGACTTTTTAAATCATGGGGTTTTGGGGTTTTGGGGTTTTGGGG